CATCCCACCTGCAGCCAGGAGTGAGCCCGGGCCCTGGGCTGTAGGCTCTGTGAGCCACATCTCCCGCTGTTGACATGACCCTCATCCCAGCCGAAGAGCACCGCAGGACCCGCCTGTGGAGGGGCCCTGCACCCCACCTCATCTGCCAGTGAAGGCGCTGGGTCCCTGCTCAGGCTACAGCCCCGAGAAGCCCCCTCACTGTGGAGCTGAACCCCCTAGGGTGCACTGCCCACTCCCGTGTTGGGATGAGGTTTTGTTCCTCACACTCACATGAGCCCCTGGGTGGCTTCCGTTGCTAGGGGTGCGGAATGCAACGGGGGTTTCTGGGAAATGGAAATGCTCTTCAAATGCTTGCTAGGCAGACCCGTGGGCTGCGATTGCCAAATAAAATGGCCTTCCTGCAGCCAGCACATCCTCGGAGTAAGGCCCCTGCTCCCGTGCGGGCTCCCAGCTGGCTGCCCACCTTCTGGCCCTGCATAGCGCGACCCCACAGGATGCAGATATGGGTGGGACTGTAGGCACCCCGCAGGGCGAGACATGGGGCTGCAGCCGGCCAGCCAACTGATGCAAGTCCCCTCTGCCTGGGGAGGTGAGTGGCCGGGTGAGACCTCCGAGGTCCCCGCTATGGCGAGCAGTGCCACGCACGGTAGGGCTTGGCGGGCACTGGGGCTGGGCAGGGCCATCAGGTCATCCATGAGGCCTCAGGACAGCAGTGGGCCCTGCACCCTGGCTCCCCGGCCGTCTCTGTCCAGGTCCATCCCAGTGGGGGTGGACAGCTAAACATTGGGTCTGCAGGGGCTATGTGGGCCCTGCATACAGGGCCATCGGGGATCACCCATGCCCTGGCTTCTCCCAGCATCCACCCACGGGGGCTGCTCGTCAAGGCCAGAGCCCGAATCCGGACAGGATGCAGATACCAATAGGCTGATGTGCCCACAAACATGGAGGTCCCGGGCCACGCGGCCTGGCGCAACCCGTGTCCAAGCCTCGTTTCCCATGTGCACAGCCAGCCACCTGTATGCGTTCGCACGCACTCACACGCTCCCGCCCCTGCTGAGGTTGCGAGGGCAGGTGGAGGCGTGTTTGCAGGCACATCCGTGACAAGGGGCCTGGCTCGGGTGCAAGTCTCCAGTCTTTTATTCATACAAGAACACACCTCACCTGCTGACGATCAGCACGAGGGATGGGCACCTCAAGGCAGATAGGACACGCAGGCCAGGCCGCCCCATAGTCAGCAGCCAAGTCAGAGCCAGCCCGATGCATAGATGCCCGAGATGCTCTGGCCCCATCAGCCTGCCACATGTAGGCACCAGTGCTGCCCTTCCTGGCACACAGCCACCACTGCCCCCACAGCCTGGGGGGAAAGAGGACCCAGGCCCAGTTCCCCGCCACTGAACTAGCCAGGGTTACTGCGTGGGTTTCCCTGTAGGGACTGGGCCCAATTCCAGAGAACACTTGGTCTTGGCCAGGGAAAGTGACTACAGACCGGAGACCTAGACTCTCAACCCAGAGGGGAAAAGCAAAGCAGTGCTAAGTGGCCTTCTCAGGCCTCGTGCTGGTTAAGACCCCTGTCCCCCAGCCCCTTGAGGACCTCCTTCCCCTTACCTGGGCCCCTCCCAGCAGGGGGCCAGCCCCCTCCCCAGGGCCTGCCAGCAGCTAAGGCCTAGGAGGAGGGAGGGCTTGCACAGGCTGGGGAGGGGACTGACGGCCTGAGTGAGCCCGGGGTCCCCACACATCCCGGGCCAGGGAAGGACACCAGGGCTAAAGATCCGCCGGCTCCCTGAAAAGCTTTGGGAGGAGCTGAGACAGCAGCTCTGGGGTCTGAGGCGGCTGGGAAGCTCTGTAAATGAATGCACGTCTGTAAAAGCCCTTAACCGTCCACGCTCTGCTCAGCCCCCGGCCCCGGCAGCTGGCTGAGGTCAGGGAAGGGACTCAGACATGGGTCCCTCTGGCCTGCAGTGCCTGCTGAGCTGAAAGTCCACCCAGCCACCCAGCGTCCCTGTGGCCAGCTCACAGCGCAGATCACCTCACGCCCTGGCCTGTCGCCGGAGCCGGCCCCGGGTGAGGATGGAGGGTGACGAGGATGTGGTCAGGTTGTCTCGGCCCGGCCATGGACCCTGGCAAGGCCTGCCTCCATGCACGTGTGTGAGAGGAACAGTCCCCAGCTGCGGAGGGCCACGTGCAGGAAGCACAGCCCCGACCAACAGCACACAGAAACCTGAGCCCAGACGTGGCTGGCTGGGTCCAGCTGTGGCTGCCCCACAGCTGACCCCGTGTCTGCACAGAGAGCTCGCTCATGCCAGGCGGAGAAGCAGATCTCAGGTCCACAGATTCACGGGGCCACCCCTGCTGGAGGCATTCCACCCGAGACGTGCTGTGGTGGAGTCCCCACGGAGCATCAAGGTGTCATGCACAATCTCAGGGCCCCCCTAGGAGGGCCGAGTCCCCCCACCTCATGGGGTTCCTGTGGAGGCCGAGGGTGGGCTCTGAGGCAGCTCCCTGCAGCAGGAGGAGCGGAGGGGAAGGCACAGGCGCTCTGGGAGGGGCCTGCTGACAGCGCCTTCTCTGGAGAGGTGCGGAGGGCGGGTGACGTTGTCTGCCAGGGCGCAGGGCGATGGGTGGGCACGTGCAGACAGGAGGCAGGCACCCTGCCCCTGAGGTCCCTGAAATACATGGCTTTTGGGGACACCTGCTTCCTGCTGACCTGAGGGCCTCGTAGGGAATGAAAAGGCAGGGTGGTGAGGCCGGCCCTGGGACCGCACCCCCGTGCGCCCCTCCCCGGCGCAGACGCAGATGCAGACGCAGACGCAGAGCAGCCCCTCCCGGTCGCCCTGCCCCTCGCCGCCAGAGGAATTAAATAGTGTCTGTTCCCCGTTTTGGCAAAGTCAGTCCTGGGCCACAGTCCCTGCGGTCGGGGGCATTACCGCCACCGCGGCGTGGCGGCTGCGAGGACCAAGGTGACGAGGAGCAGGCGCAGGAGGGGCGCACAGGGTCGGGGGCCACCGGCGGCTGAGGACGCCCCGTCGCGCTCGGACAGGCCGGGGAGGGCGTGAGTCGCCGTCGTCCTCGAGCTGGAGATCTTCTTGCTGACCCTCCGCCCGCAGGCGTCGTCAGGGCAGCCGCCGCCGCTGCCGGAGCCACTACCGTCGTCACCTGGGGAGACGCAGGGTCAGGCGGCCCGCCCGGGACGCAGCGCCTCCTTCCCCGAGGGTCCCCATGCCGGGCGGCCCCGTGTCTTGACGCCCAGCTCGGAGCTGGCTCCACCCTGCCACCCAACAAGCCCGCCGAGGCCGGCCGGCAGACCCTGCTCCAGGTGCCTGGCGCTCTCGGGTCCCCCGCCGTCGTCCCCACTTGAAGCCCAGGCTTCCCCCTAGACGGCCCCGCCTCCCCTCGCGCCGACCTCCTCTGCCCCCAGCTTCTGGCCTCCGCCCTGGGCTCGGGCCTCACCTCCGCCGCGGCCTCCCGCCGGTCCCCGTCCCGGGCAGGTCTCCGTCCCTCCCTCCCCGCACCCCACCTCCGCGCCCCTCCGTGGGTCCCGCCCCCTCCGCCCCTGCCCTGTGCTCGCGGTAGGCCCCACCTCCGCCGCGGCCCCGCCCCCGCCCCCGCCCCGGGCAGGTCTCCGTCCCTCCCTCCCGGCCCTCCAGCTTCTCCCCGGACCCCTGCCCCGCTCGGGGCCCGCCCTCACTGGTGTCCTGGAAGTCCACGTCCTTGCCGTTGTAGGCGCTGCGCAGCCGGTTGGTCATGATCTTCAGCTGCATGATCTGCTGCCGGATGGTCATGTCCGGCTTGGTGATGTCCACCTCCACCTCGGGGTTGTTGATCTGGTTGGCCAGGCCATCGCCCATCACCTCGGGGAGGTACCTGGGGCCAGATGGGCAGAAGCCCTGTCAGCAAGACAAAGACCCTGCCCCTACCACAACCCCAGGTGGCAGCTCAGCACTTCACCCACCTCAGGGAGAAGGTGCCCCACATCGACTCCATCTTGGGGAGGTGGCGCCCCTGCACTGTCCCCCTTGGGAAGGTGGCACCTCAGCACTCTCCCCACCTTGGGGAGGCCCCGCCCCTAGGACTGACCCCCCTTGGGGAGGTGGCCCCCGGCACTGCCCCCCTCTCCTGGAGGTGGCAGCCTGAGAACCCCATAGGGCCCCACACAGTGCAGTGGGGAGCTGTCCCTCTCAGCTGTGTGTCCCGCTGTGTCACACGTGTACCTGGGGCCTTGGGCAGGCAGGGACTCCCCGAGTCCCCAGGGAGTGGGGGATGGGCACTGTGCAGCAGGGCGGGCAGCTCACCGGCCCTTGGTCATCCCATTCCAGCAGCGGTCATCGCTGGCGGTGCTCATGGCCACCCTCTCACTGCACAGCATCCCCGGGAGGCTGATCCAGAAGTCCTGGACGTCGCGGAGCTGGGCCTTGGCCTCGGAGACCTGAGAGCAGCAGGCAGCTGCCGGACCGTCCTGGCCAGCCTGCCAGCCTGCCTGCCACCCACAGCCCTGGCCTCAGACTGGGGCCCCCTGGTCGGGGAGCCCACTCACCAGCTTCTCCAGTGTGCCTGTGGGGGGCTTCTCCTGAGGCTCCAGCTTGCCCCGGCGTCGCTTCTCCTCGGGCCCGGTGCCCTGGGAATTGACCTTGGGGTTCCCGCAGCCCTGGATGACCTGGGGAGACACCACAGGGGCCCAGGAGGTCACTTGAAGCCTGGAAGGGGCCACATCTGGGACACCCCCCTTCCCTCCAGCCCTCCGCTGCACCTTGGCTGTGAGTGTGTCCTTGTTGTCCTGGAGGGCGTTGATGGCCTCCGCCAACCACATGTGCACACTGCTGATGACGCTCTCCGCGCCCGACGGGCCCCAGAACTTGTCGGTGATGAGCACCATGGAGTCTGGCATGGGTGTAAGCACACGCACATGTTACCATGTGTGCACGCCGATAATGCAGTCCGCACAGCATGGGGCACAGGCCCGGGAGGGCTGGGAGTACACGTTCAGGCTGGCCCATCCTGTTCTCACGTGTGCAGGTCTGACCCACTTCAGGCCACACTCGTACGAGCAGGTGTGCCCATTTGCACACTAATACTAGCAGACAGAGCACAGTTTGCATGCATGCTGGCCCACAATGTCAACACACGCACGTTAACGCACGTGTGCTGGCACACGTGTTGTATGTATGCACACTGACCTACCACATATTAGCTCATGTACATGCCAGTTCACATGTGCCTGTAGTATACATGTTGGGGTACCACGTGTCATCCCACACACCTGTTAGCTTACACAGGTGTTGAGGTGTTTGCATGTTCGTGGCAGCACATGTACAGGCTAATGAGGTGTTGACATGCATACAGGTCGGCCCACCATGTGTCAGCACGTGTACACATGGGCTTTTATGTCTGCAGCCATGTACGTACGCTGCCCTGCCTCACAGGAGCACGTGCACATCAGCTCACATGTTGGTGTGTGTACATGTGGACCCGCTTCATGTCAGCATGTGAACATGTTCTCGTGTGCATTGCTATGTACACAGGTTAGCCCACTGTGTGGGCACAGTACACGTCAGCTCACGTGTGTTGGCGTGTATGCTGAGACACGTATGTCAGAGCTGTGCATGTCAGCTCACGTGTGTTGGCGTGTATGCTGAGACACGTATGTCAGAGCTGTGCATGTCAGCTCCCATGATGGCCCACTGTGGGCACAGTACACGTCAGCTCACGTGTGTTGGCGTGTATGCTGAGACACGTATGTCAGAGCTGTGCATGTCAGCTCACGTGTGTTGGCGTGTATGCTGAGACACCGTATGTCAGAGCTGTGCATGTCAGCTCCCATGGCCCACCGCGGGCACAGTACACGTCAGCTCACGTGTGTTGGTGTGTATGCTGAGACACCGTGTGTCAGAGCTGTGCATGTCAGCTCACGTGTGTTGGCATGTATGCTGAGACACGTATGTCAGAGCTGTGCATGTCAGCTCACGTGTGTTAGCGTGTATGCTGAGACACGTATGTCAGAGCTGTGCATGTCAGCTCCCATGATGGCCCACTGTGTGGGCACAGTACACGTCAGCTCACGTGTGTTGGTGTGTATGCTGAGACACCGTGTGTCAGAGCTGTGCGCGTCAGCTCACGTGTTGGCAAACCTGCCTGCTGGTCCACGTGTGTCATGTGCTGGTGTGCTCACTCAGCACTCTGACCCCACCAGGTCCCCTCCCAGGCACCTGTCCCAGTGCAGCTCCATGTCCCACCCCACTGAGGCAATGCAGATGGAATCCACCTCTCCCCACAGTCCCCACCCGAGTCCCAGCCTGCAAGGACAGGGCCTGGAGTGTGGGGTGAGGGCGCCCGGGATGGCTCACCCAGAAGGTTCCTCCACTCAGCGTCCAGGTCGGCCTGGTTGGCGAGGCAGCCTTTGAGCACGTTGCGGCAGTAGTCCGGGCAGGGCCGGGCGCCAGGCACCCCCAGGCAGTGGGCACAGTAGACCAGCTTCATGACGGCCCTGGAGCACTCGGGGCCCAGGGGCACCTGTGGGCAAAGGCAGCCTGACGTCTCGCAGTGTGCTCTATGGGCCCGACCGTCGCGGGTCAGGGAGGGCCCAGGTGGCGGTCAGGAGGTGGCCTTAGCTCTGCCTGACTCAGCTTGGCCCCAGGACACTCGTCCCAATAATCACCGAGGTCACGGTGATTGGGAAGCATGACCACCTTGCCATGAAGATGGGGAAACCAAGGCTCGGAGGTGGGGTGACTTGCTAAGGACACTGAGCAGGTCTGGCAAGGCCTGCCTGAACCCATGTTTCGTCTGTTCCCACTCCCCACCCCAAGCCTGCCAGCCCCTCCCTCCCAGCCCAGAACACAGCCCGGAGGATGGGACTGGGCAGGGGGTCGGCCTGGAGCCGTCCCTGCCCCAGGAGGGCACACGTCTGGACGTGCTGTCAGCAGGCCGGTCAGGACTGAAGCTGGGGGCTGTCAGGAGCTGGGCCGTAGTTCAGGGCACGGGGCAGAGCGTGGGGACTCCAGGAGCTCCCGAGAGGCCCTGGCAGCAGTGCGCACCTGGGCCACCTTCCGGACCACGTCGGTGGCCACGCCCAGGCCCTGCACGAAAGCACGAGCTGCCACGAAGGCGCGGGTGGCCCGCAGGCGCAGCTCGCGCGGGACGTCCCCGAAGGGCCGCAGGGCCTCGGCCTGCTTGCCCAGGCAGTCCAGGTATTCGTCTGGCAGCAGCAGCTGTGGGTGCAGCTGCTTGAAGAGACGCTCCAGCAGGCGGGCCCAGAACTCGGCCAGCGTTTCCTCCAGGTGCAGATTGGCGCCACGGTAGTAGAGGCGCAGCTCGGTGTACAGGTCGCGGAAGGCCTTGGCGTTCTGCGTGTACAGGTCCCCGAAGGCGCTGGGGAAGGTGTCCTGCAGCGTCCGCTCCGAGCCGTTCAGCAGGCGCTGGAAGTGGTCTGCGGTACAGGGAGGGGGTGTGAGGTGTAGGGGAGGGGGCCTGAGATTCAGGGGGCTCCGCCAGGAAGAGCCGCTGCTGAAAATTCCAACCCCTCTCCTGCATCCTTAGGAGACCCTGGGTGCTGCATACGGTTAACCCGTCAGCTGCTAACAAAAGGCTGGAGATTTCCAGTCCACCCAGAAGCACCTTGGTAGAAAGGCCTGGAGCTCTACTTCTGAAAAATCAGTCACTGAAGATCTCATGGAGCACAGTTCTACCCCGACACGTATAGAGTCACCACCAGTTAGAACTGATTTGCTGGCAAGGGTTTTTTTGTAAACCATACTCTTGGGTCACTGGAAGCCGATTTGGAAGCCTTCTCTGCACTGTGACCTTGCTTCCGCCCCTTGAACCTGCCTGCTCCAGCCCACCTCCCCGCTCTGGCAAATCCCATCCTCCACTCACCTGCTGACGTGGCCTTTGACCCTTTGACTCCAGGAAAGGACCCGAGGCAACAGCTGAGCAGCCCCGCAGAGCGGTGGGCGGGCGCCCCCTCCCTCTCCCTGCTCAGGCTCACGGCCCCTGGCCCCTCCACCCTTCACAGGCATGAGCCCCACTTCAGCCCGGAGCCCCTTCCTCTCACTGAGCCCCGCGTCAGAGCCTAGCCCAGAGGCCCCTTCCTCGGCTTCCTGGCCCTGCACGACCCCTCCGGGGCGTCCCCTACAGGCAGCAGGGCTGGCTCTCTCAGCCCGGCACAGCGAGGGGCCAAGACGGCTGGGCCCTGCGGTCCTCAGCCCGTGGCCACGCTCCGCCAGAGCCCAGCAGGGACCCTGGACACTGCAGCTGCCGCACGCCTGGGGCTGATCACCCGGGGTCCCAACTCCTGCTGGCCACACGAGGCGCCTCGGCTCTGCTGTGGAGCCTGGCCCCCAGACCCTGTCAGCCCTCTGCGGAGCTCCTTGGCTCTAGCCCTCACCCTGAGCACGGAGCCTCGCCGCTCCTGTATGCCCGGCTCCTGATCGTGTGTCTAAAGGAGGCTGCATGAGCCAGGACACCCGGCCCCACGTCTGTCCCACGGCAGGTGGTCGGGGGCTCTGCCGTGACAGAGGAGTCCCTTGAGGGCAGAGGCCCCTCGGAAGGGCTGGCGGGAGGGGCAGGCCCATTCTCCTCAAACATGCTGGGACGTGCACACCCCCACGAGCGGACACAGAGCTCTGCAGGCGATTCCGGAACTCACGTATCCCCTGTTCAGGCCCCTCTTCTGACTGTACCCCCAGATCTCAGGGGTGCCTTCAACCCGGCCCCCAGCCCCGCCCATTCACCCTTCTCTGCTGAATCCCCAGCCTGGACCTCCCTGGTGAGGCCCCGTGCCGCCCGCCCCCACCGCGCCTTCCCCAGAGCCTCTGTGCCGGGGGACTGCCCCGGCTCACCGTCGAAGGCACGCAGCTGGGTAGTGAGCGTGGCCTGCAGGGCGCGGCTGCTGTCCTGAAGGCCGGTCTCCAGCTCAGCGCGGCTGCGGTTGGCCAGGTTCTCCTCCATCTCGCTGGTGCAGCAGGTGTAACCCTGGGGGCAGATCCTCAGGTGCTCACCTGTGGGGGGAGGGGCAGTGTGAGGGGGAGGGGCGGGCACGGACAGGCCAGGGGTAGCTGGGAGAAGGGCCTCAGGGCCCCGGCAGGCTCGCCTGGGCAGTGGACGCTGACCCCGGACGGGACGGGGCACAGTTCAGGCAGCTGCTGAGTGGGGGGACCCGAGGTGAAGGTGGAGGTGAGGCGGGCTCCACGGCAGCCCAGGGCGTGACGCCAGGGGCTCAGGGCGGGGGGGCTCCTGCACAGCAGAGGGCGGAGCCCAGTGCCTGCCCCCTGCTGCCCCCACACACTGGAGGAGAACACAATCACAGCCCTGAGCAGCCTGGGGCCTCCGGGTCCTGTGGGGGAGGGTCTCGATGGCTGAGACCCCAGCCTCACAGCGCACCCTCATTCCAGGCCCGTCCCTGAGGACTGGGTGGGAAGAGGAGGATCCCCGAGGGGCCGGACAGCCCAGGGCCTCTCCCCAGCCCTGGGGGCCGCCTCGCAGTGTCCACTGTGGGCACAGCAGGCCCAGTCAGACCCGGCTCGAAGCTGGGGAGTCCACGACGGAAAGCAATGGAAGGACCCGGGAGCGCGGTTCTGGGCTGGCCAGAGGGAGCTGTCCCTTAGGCATGGCCTGTGGGGGCAGGACAGAGCCCCAGCACAAGTCTGGGGTGGAGGGGTGCGTCCTGGACAGGTGGTAGGCCCAGGACGTACCCTCCGGGGGGCCATCTTGACCCTGACTCCCAAGCCCCTCCTCCTGCAGGATGCACCACGCTTTCTTCCTGGTGCCCTGGGACACGGGCGTGCACCGCCCCTCTGCTGGAGTCTGCTTCTCCCCACCCCACAGCCACTGTGTCATCAGGTGGCAGCTGTCACGTCTCTCGTGGCAGCTTCACACCAGCTGCACTGAAGCACGGTACGTGGTGCCATCACGGGCGGCACATCCGACACGGGGACTGAGGACGAGCCGTGAGCGAGCACCAGCCCTACAGAGCACGCCCGGGGACCCTCAGTGGAGGTCGCAGGAGGCTGTCCAAGCACCTGGTCATGGACGGGGTACAGCGGGGCACACCCCACATTTACCATGTGCTGATCCCACTTTCAAGGAGTCCCAGGGTGTCATAAACGGGCAGAGTTAAGTGCTCAACTCCTGGCCAAAACGGTGGCAGTTCCAACCCACCCAGAGGCGCCTCAGAAGAAAGGCCTGGAAATCTGCTTCCAAAGGTGGCAGCCTTAAAAACCCTGTGGAGCACAGTTCTCCTCTGACACACACGGGGGTGCTGTGGGCTGGAGGGGGCGCCGTGAGTCGGATGTGACTCTATAGCAGCTGGTCTGAGCTTTGGTTTTAATCCCATTTTCAAAAAAGCAGTGTTGTGTTGGGTGCTGGGGTCCCATTTTACAGACCAGGAAACTGAGGCGCAGAGAGGTGCCTGATTTGAGGCCCCACCCCCTGCCACCGCTGCTCCCTGTGGGCCTGTCCAGCCCGGCCGCGTGGCCGAGACTGTCCCCCCCTGGCCCTCAGGACTGCTTCTCCTCACAGGTGACACCTGCTGCCTCCAAGTCTGGGGACAGTGGAGAGGTAGGGGAGGGGCCTGGCTTGGGACTGAGGCTGTGAGGGGCTGGGGTCCAGGGAGGGGTCAGCGTGGATTCCAGAAACACTTCTCCACAGGAGAAGCTAGCAAGAAGCCCCCAGGTGTCAAGGCTGATGTAGCAGGGAGGCTGTCGGCCCCCAGCCCCCCATACCGCCTGCAGGTCCGTCATTACAGCACCCATAGGGAAACGTCCATGCCCCCCAGCCTGGGGGGTCCTCGAGGTGGAGGAGGCCGAGGGACCAGGGCAGGATGGGAAGCAGACATGATCCTGACCAGGCTGCTTGGCCAGCCTACAGCCCTGGGGTTCCTCTGAGGGTCTGCACGGGGGAGGTGGCGTAGCCCCGAGGGGACTCAGAAAGCTGCAGCTTTGGACAGAAGGCCTAAGACTGTGACCCAGGGCCAGGAGGGGTGGTGTCCTAGGCGAAGGCCGTCCCAAGGAGGGGAGGGAAGCTCAGCAGGAAGGGGGGGCTGCTGGCTGAGGGCAAGGGAAGCAGTGGGGGGCGGGGGACGTGATGTGGCCATCACCAATCCCCCCCATCCAGGGCGGGTCCCACCCCCAGGGGCCTGGTCTCTGCTCTCACACCCATGAAGTCCTGGCCCCCCGGGGGCTGCATGTCCATCTAATGGGGATGTCCATCCAAAGGGGCTGCTTTGACCCCCCGACCCGGGACAGGACTGATCTAGGGCAGGCAGGGTGGGCCCGGAGGCCTGCTGGGGTGGGGGCATCAGGGTCCTGGAACCTGACCATGGAGGAGCAGGTCAGGCCCTTTCGAGCCACCAGGGTGGGTCTACCCAGCTATGACAGCTGTCCATAAGGCGAGAAGGGCCCTCCCCACCTTCCTTCTTGCCTGCAGGCAGGTGGCGTGACACAGAACATTCCAGAGGGACGTCCTTCACTCTCAGCAGCGTTTATTGTGGGGTCCTGAGCCCCCCAGACGTGGGGCAGGATCAGGCAGATGTCTGTGGGTCAGCACCCCCCAGAGAGCACCCTGGGGCTGTCAGCGGGCTGTGAGCACCAAGGGGGAGGGACTGGAGCTCACCCCACCCATGCCTGCCAGAGCCCCCCACCTGGGTACCTGGCCTATGGAAGCCCCAGGGCGCCGAGGTGGGTGGGGGTCCGAGGGGGTGGGGCAGAGTCAGGATGAGACGGCAAGAAAGCTTGGGAAGAGCAGTGAGGTACGGGGTGGGGGGCGCTCTCTGCTGCCTCTCCAGGGGGGCTGTCTGGAACAGAGCCTGGGGGCGTGGGGGAGAGGGCAGGTGGGTGTGTGGGGGTATGGGCCTCTCAGCCAGGGGGGCTGTCAGGAACGGGGAGGGGCGGGTCAGGTGGGCAGATGGGCCTGGAACCTGGCAGTGGGGTCTTGGCCAGGCTTGGGGTGGAGGGTGCTGAGCTTACAGGCCTGCCTGGGGAGGAGGGGGAGGAGCCAGCCAGCATTTCCTGGTGACATCCTGGGCTGGGGGTAGGGGTGTGGGGTCTGGGGCTCCAGCTCAGCCGAGGCTTGCTGAATCAGAGGCCGTGGGCAGGTGGCACTGGTGGGTGGCCCAGGTAAACACCACGTCCTTGGGCCGGCCCAGAACACAGAGCTGGGCAGGGTGGAGAGAGATTAGGCCCCCGCAAAGCTCCCCGCCACACCTGTGCTGGCTCCTCCCTCCTGAGTCCTCCTGGGGTCCCCGGGGATCCAAATACCCTCCCATCCATGCAGGCAGGCGAAAAGCTTAAGGGAGAGAGGGGGCGGTGTGGGCAAGAGCCATGAGATGAGGGGGACAGTCACACCCCCAGGGATCCCCCCAGCTCCTGGTACTGCCAGCCTACCCACCCGCTCCCAGGGGTGGGCCTCCCCCACGCCCGGCCACCTCGCCCAGCCGGCCCGGTCACCTGTGCTGTTCCGGCCGCCCTAGCACAGCCCCCGTCCCTCCCTCCCTCCTCGGACAGTCACGGGAGTGAAGACACGGAGCCAGAGCCTGGGCGCCGGCCTGAGGCCCCGGGCAGGCTGGGCCGACGGGTGGCCCCAAGGCCGCGGCATGTCAGACACAGGGTCACTAGTGGTGGTGGTGGTGGGTGGAGGGATGGAAGGCACAGAGGCTTCCCGCTTCCCTCCTGCCGAGCCCTGGGAGTAGTGGGATGCGCCCAGCGCGCGGGTCACCTGCTGGTCTTGGGCATCTGCAGGGCGTTCCTGCCCTTGCAAGACAGCCAGCCGCCCATCCTCGTCAGAGCCAACCAGTGCAAGGGGGGTCTGCTAGAAGGAGACAAGCTTCCTGACACTGGAAGCGTGCAAGTCCAGGCTGGAGAGGTCCGTCTCTCAGCTGGGGGTGTTTCTGACATCTAAGGCGGATTCTACTCTCTGCCGTCTCAAACCTCCCACTCCCCAAACCTCCACCCCTTCTCTCAACATAGCACCTGAGGAAGGAGGCTCCCACTGCCCCCCCCAACCCAGAGCTGCAAGGAGCTGCCCCCCAGGGCTCCCGCTCAAACCTGGTGCATGTTCCATCTCAGAGATGAGCCCACAGCAGCCCCTCCCTCCTCCCCTCTCTGCATCAGTGCCCCGTGTTCCCGCTGACCCCTGCAGGACCTGCTGTGGCCGGGTCGCTAGGACTGCCCGGCCAGTCCCCTCCTTCCTGGATCCCTTGGCTGCATCCGATCGAGATGGCTGTGCCCTTTCTTAGCCTCAGGGACATGGCCCTGCCCTAGTGCTCTCGGGGTTTTTTTTTGGGGGGGTTGTTTGTTTTGGAGCAGGACTGTCCCGTGCCCCTAAATTCCAAGCCCCCTGTACTCCCAGGCCCCAGGCTCCCGGACCCCGTCTGGCTGTGCCCTGCGTCAGGATGCCTGCACACTGCCTCCCTAAGCCCACCCGCACTGTCGGCTCCTCCAGGCGGCAGGCCCACGTATCATCTTCACCCCTCGTATTCAGACCCTGGAGTCACCCCAGGCCCACCTTTCCTCACTAAGCCGCCTGCCATTCTGTGCCTTAAACAGCTCTGACTCACCCCCTCCCGCCACCCCTGCTGACAGCCGCAGCAACAAGCCCCACCCCCCCGCCCACCTTAGGAGGTGAGCGGATGCCTAGTGGGGTCCCTCCAATGCCCCCCCACCGTCATCAGCAGTCCCCCAATGCTGAAGTCCAGACCCCACTCCGGTAGCAGTCAGTCACTACCTCAGCTGTGGACAGAGGCCCACTTGTCTAGGCGCAGCCCAGACGCAACAGTGACCGCTGGCCCAGAGCCTGCCCAAGGAGACTGCAGAGGGACGGTGGTGGCACGCCAAACCCCATTCCTCCCAACGTCTGCTGCTCATACACACCCAACCTGCCTGTGGAGCCACCTCCCGGACGCCCAGCACTCACTGCCCAGCCACCCCTCAAGTCCCCGTTAGTGCAGTCCAAACCCTCGGCCTGGGCTGCGCCGGCTGCAGCTGTGTGGACAGGTCAGGCACAG